TATTTCACCCAAAAATTTAAATTTTCTCATCATTTACTCACCCTCATGTCGTTCCAAACCTATATAAGTTTCTTTCTTATGTTGAGCACAAAGAAGATATTTTGAAGAATTTTGAAGAACGAAACAGTTGTTGGTCCCATTAGTAGGAAAATAATTACTATAGAAGTCAATGGGGAACATCAACTCTTTGATTACCAGCATTCTTCAAAATATCTTCTTTTACTGTATGTTCAACATAAGAAAGAAACTCATACAGGTTTGGAACAACATGAGGGTAAGTAAATAATGAAGAAATTTTCATTTTTGGGTGAACTATCCATTTAATAAGAATTTGTGTCATTGAAATTTTAATTTTTGGCCACAATATATATATATTTTATTGCATGCATGTTGTGTGAGTGGCTCCATACCAATATACACATGCAAGCAACATAAATCACAAAATATTTTATTACATTACAGTTAATAATTTTTTTTTGTAACGTTTGTTTTGCAGGGCTCTTATATAAACAGTATTTTATTAATTTGTTAAAATCTATTTTTAATATTTTATTTAATATTTTACATTTTTATCAAAACATTGGAAGAAATGTGGAATGGTGGGAAGAAGTCTGTTGTGAATGATTTTGCCAAAATATTATTTACATTTTCTGTGTTGTCTTTCAATAATGTTAAGGCACTATAGGAATTAGCATACAGTCAACAAAAGTTAATCACTCACAATTTGTTTTATGCCCCCCCCAAAAAAAGGTTTAAAACCCATGGTCAAATTAAATGTGAAATTTGACATTTTCAGGATCGATATGATTAGCATAAAACATTTAACATTTCCAATAATGCAAGCAGTCCAAATTGCACAAACCCATGCACACAAGTGAGTCAGCAGGGATAAGCAGCACACTGTACCCTACACCCACTTACAGCCTCTGCTGATGACTGCCGTCATAGCAACAGATAGACATAACTACCCACCCTTACACCCAGTCCTGTACAGAGCAGAGCCTTACACACATACACATATCTCCAGTCCATACACATATCAAAGCTAACACACTCTACATCCATATAATTCCGTTTCAGAAGGCATTTCAATGAAGGTTTACCTCCACCACATACAGTTTGAAGCATGACTGCTCAATACTAACAATCCAAGCAGCGCCACATGACAGCGTATGTGTCTGAGAGGCCTACTGGAACACGGTGCAGCCCAAACCAGCGGTTGTGATTTCGACAGACAGAGTGACAAACATTTCAGGGAAGAGACTTTAGTGGGCTAACCACAGATGCCTGACCACTTTTCTCTGGAAGCAGATGCTCGCTTCTCTCTTGGGCCACAGCTGACACCCACTCACAGCCTCTGCTGATGACTGCCGTCATAGCAACAGATAGACATAACTACCCACCCTTACACCCAGTCCTGTACAGAGCAGAGCCTTACACACATACACATATCTCCAGTCCATACACATATCAAAGCTAACACACTCTACATCCATATAATTCCGTTTCAGAAGGCATTTCAATGAAGGTTTACCTCCACCACATACAGTTTGAAGCATGACTGCTCAATACTAACAATCCAAGCAGCGCCACATGACAGCGTATGTGTCTGAGGGGCCTACTGGAACACGGTGCGGCCCAAACCAGCGGTTGTGATTTCGACAGACAGAGTGACAAACATTTCAGGGAAGAGACTTTAGTGGGCTAACCACAGATGACTGACCACTTTTCTCTGGAAGCAGATGCTCGCTTCTCTCTTTGGCCATAGCTGAAAAGGGGAAAAAGGCAGGGAGGGAGTCAGCAGGGTTTTGAAACCCACTTTCACTTCCCAAAGCAAAAGGCTATTTAAATACAGCTGGTTCTACCCAGTGCTTTGATTCCTTGTGCCCGTTGCTAACTTTTGCTGAGAGGGAGCATTTAGGCTCAGGATGTGAACAAGAGAAGACCTACCAGTTCCAAGTCAAAATCTGAAGTTACTCTTCACTTGTTTTTCATAAATCAGATGAAAAGCACAACCTGATATTGAATCTACATGATTAAAAATCCTTTAAAATCAGACTGGAATGCATTTTAAAGGAACTCCTGTATTGATTTATGAGCACAACTTTTGTTCTGGTGATGACGTATTCCCTATCAAAACAGGAAGTTTGCGCGGGGCATATCGAGGGGTCATCCTTTTGTAGCCAAATAGTGTTTAATTATATTACAGCCATGAAACATCCCTGTGTCCCAATGTGAATACTGCCCATCCTAAATAGTATGTGAAATTAGAATAAGTCTGTCCCAAAGCATAGTATGTTGAAAAGAGTATGCTAAAAGTTCCCGGATGGGCTAATATTTCTGGTAGATTTTCAAAGTATGGATTTGTGCACAGTCTAATGGCTGATATTGCCTACGACCCATTGCGCTTTGGAGGAGGTTTTGGTTCAGAAATATAAAAACTAATAAAAAAGAACTACAAACATGGCAGATGTTTGTGAGACGGACTGTTAAGTAGAGACACTCTGAAAGGGGTTTGAGTTATAATAATCAATATTTAACTGATAAAAATATTTAATTAATGTTATCTGTGTTATATTTCATCTGCAACAACATTGTGAACTTTTTAAAGATACAAAAAGCACAATCATGAAACAGATACGTTTATGGGACATCATTATGCAAAAAAAACTAAAAAACATTTCTCTGCATAAAAGATTCACAACTGGCAGATTTTTTTCTTCTTCACAAAAAGAGTACATACTTTTAGGCAACACATAATTCGGTAGTTACTAGTTGGAAAGGGGAGGGGCATGTTCCGTCTAGGGGCATTTGATTGGATGAAAATCTGTGCAGTGCTGGATGAGTTTTGTTTGCTTTCCTGGAAAAATAATTTTTAAGCTGTACATATTTTTGTACTTTTTAGAGTACGCTAGAATATAGATGGCTTCAAAGCTAATGGAAAAAAGCCACAAAAGTAGATTAAATGAGGTCAAGCTCTTCAGAACTTTACTGAACAAAACCTCAGCACTCAGTTTTCATGGAACATCAATGAGATGTGGATTTTTGTAAAAGATTTTGAAAGCTCTTTTCAACTATGCCACACAATTGTTTGTACTTTCAGCACACAGCATGTGTATCTGTATGTTGTGTCTGACACAGAGCACTTGGAGTTCCACAAACACAGCACTCAGCCCTGCACAGAGCGTCCACGCTCACTGTTCACTCAAGGTCTTCTTGATCGCCCACATTATTTCATGATCTGCAGTGGTATTTCTCTCTCTAATCACTTGGTTGAGTACTCTGGGAATGTGTTGCTGGAACTCCCCTGAGCTGAGGATTCAGATTTAAATGTTAATACTAATCTATTTGAATTATTCTTTATATTTGATCAAACTGTTCTAGCAGACGTCTGTGTGTACCCATGAAAAATCACTAAGGAGATCCCTCACTTGTTCCGATTGTTGTTCTCTCAGTTTCTCAGATTTTTCTTTTGGAAAAAAGTTGTCTTGTTTTATTTCTCCTAAGGCATTTTAGTAGAGACATCTGAGACTATGTTGATATTCCACCGAGTCTCCTAAAATGTGAAAGAGCAACCTCTCATGATCAATACAGTTGTCCTCAGGGCACATGTATCTATATGAAAATTATACAAAATAGCTGCATCACAACATTGGGTCATCAAGGTTCAAAGTTTTCTTTCTTTTTTTATTAATGATTAACATATTTACATATTAACATACTTTATCATACAAATTCACTCAAAGAACAATTTCCATGAGTTCCAGGCCTTTAACTGTGGCATTTTATTTACATGCATGCATTTGACTGACATCTTTATCAAAAGCAACTTATACTGATAGTCAAGTTTTGGGCGGGCCATAAACGCAACACATGGCGGAGGAGAGAACTATTCCTGTAGTGACTGTCAATTTTTATTAATTTTTCTCACAACATCTAAATGTCCAAAAACACATGAAGGCGGCATTAAGTACTTTAAAGAAAAGGCTGATCTCTTACCACAATCACCTTTTAGTTGACCTTCATGGAACTGTTCAGTTTTTAGAAAAAGCAGTTGCAATATAAAGATGACTTTAAGCAGTCAGGTTAAGACTGCTTTTAACAGGCTTTGTGTCGCTTCCAAATTCTGTGTAAAGACACAACAGTGCACAAAAGCCTAAAATGCACATACTCTGATCCACCTCAGCCCCTACTATCACAGGCAGCTCTGATACTGCTTTTGTTTCAGTGTAAAGCCCTGTTCACACTGACAGCAATTAAACTGATGAAGGTCTCAGAGTTGCTATGATGTTGGTTGTTCCTGCTTTCCTCATTTGCATACTTTGCTCAACTTTTTTTGCATCGCCAATGGTGTCTGTATCTCATATTGCCAGAAATCATCTCTCATTAAAAATGATGTCTGTTCACTGCAGGGTGAACACCATCAAACATAGCACCAGAGTAGACTTAAACTGTATATATTTTCCATATATATTCAAACGCTTATGATTTATATTTTCATTTATGTGTCGTGTATTTTATATTTTCATTCACCTTTTCATGTTTCTATATTCATTATTTAAAAATCAACAAATGTAAATGCACCTTTAGTAAAATTAATTAACTAAAGATTAAATAAATAAATAGCACGTAAACAAACAGTAACCTCCTGGTCTAAAACTGGTTTCTGTGGGACACTCATCTGCTTTGTGTTGATTAGGGCTATCTGAACGCGAGCACTTCCTGGATCTGGACTGTCCCACCGCGCATGGGACGCCGCTCAAACCCATCCATCCATCCCTCGTGGGTCAGTTAGTATGCCTCCTATCTCACGTTACACGTACAATCCCGTTCTCCGCGTGGACAGGCGCGCCGAGCGTCGCGGCTCGAGCTCATTCTAACAGGTGGCGAGCGATTCCAGGTGCAGCAGCAGTTCATCACTGAGCGACGAACGCTGAGAGGATCGTTCGCTCCTCGTTATAAGCAATTCGTGGGCTCCTACGCGTATCACCACGGTCTAATGATCGTATTTAGGGTATTTAGGCGAGGGGCAGATTGGTTTAATTAGCCTTCAGTTTACAGGTGGGCGAAAACCGTTTGTAGGACGGCCCCTCTTTCAGTTCCTCAACAGGAGACGCGGGACTGTCATTTGTTTGCCATCCTGTGGGACAGAAGAAACGGCTCCGTTAACAGGTGCGAGGATAGACAAATACACCGGCGTTCAGTCGTGTGTTTGTGCAGAACGCGATTTGAAGAATATTTCCATTGGTGTTCGCGGTAAATTAGGAGCTTTATCTACATATCCAGCATATCTTCGAAGCCTCTTTCGTACCGGAGGAGGACCGACAAAGCCATGTCAACCAAAAAACGGGTGGATTTAACGAGAAGGAGCCGAAGCCCCGCGGTGTCCGAGGCGGAGATGTTTGGTGATTTTCAGGAGTGGTGCCTCCGCACTTATGGGGACTCCGGCAAAACAAAGACCGTCACCCGGCGAAAATACAACAAAATTCTGCAGACCCTCTTACAGAGCGACGACTTGGAGGGCGTCTATATCGAGAGCAACCACATCAACGCCAAATTTAAGTTCTGGGTGAAATCCAAAGGTTTCCAGGTGGGCAACACTGACAGCAAGCCGAACGAGAACGGGGCAGCGGACAAACCGGTCCTGTACGTCCCCATCAAGGCAACGGTTAGTATGGGTGCTCTTTTTTCCCGTCTGCTAATCAAACGCGTAATATTTGCCTATGCAAATTCTGAGCCACGCGCACAATGGCGCACAGGTCTACGCGTCTCGCGGCCGGTGAATCTTGTTTAGGGTTGTATAGCCTATCTGTAGTTGAGCTGTCTCTCTCGGGTCTCTGGCAACCACTTGTTCGCGTGCCACTCCGCCCGGTATCCACGGGAACCGATTGTCCGGAAGCTCTTTCTGTTATCACTATCAGTCACTGACAATGAACACTAGTTTCTGGATATTAGTGAAATGTAGTGCTAACGAATCGAATGTATTTTGAAATGTGCATTTAAGATGGCATACTAGTTAAAATATATATTAATGATATTTATACAGGCAATAACTTGAATAGACCTCTCTATAATAATGTTTTCATTTTTTGAATGCTATTCAATTTCTGAAAGGTATTTTTTTGTGGGGCTTAAAGAAAAAACATGTTTTGAAAAATGCTGGCATAACTAGTTTGCCATAATATTTATTATATTGTCTTAATCTTTTTATTTTTAGTAATAGTAGTATATATAAATCAGCAGTGAAAAAAATATGGTTTTAAAAAGTCAGTGTAGTGTAACCAGTATGCAGGAAGACATTTTTTGTTGTCATGTGACAAGAAAACCAGACAACCGAGAGGAAACCTTTTGACCCTCGTGAGTGCCTTTAAAAATATAACATATTCTAACAGATTTATGTAGAAGTACATTCTGTTTGGGTCAAATGGAGTTGACCTGAGAAAAAAATATTAAATATTGAGTATATGCAGGTGTATTCAAAGTGCATGAAAAGTATTTAGTGCATTTCACTTGATGGTTAAACAAGTTGACATTATTAAAATTAATACATCAAACTGTTTGTAGAAACTGGTATAAATGTTTTTGAAAAATGTAGGAAACCAGCATGAATACAATGAATACATTTCTATGAACTTGTCACATGTATTTTAAACTACATTTTTAAAAATGCCTCACTTTTTGTAATTTCGGACATCGTTATGGTTCAGTGATCCACATGTGTTTATTTGGGGTTAGTTGGACTCTCTCATGGCGGTTTGTAACTATTGGCAAATTGGTGGAAATCCGTAAGAATTTATACAATTCGAACATTTTCGTCCAATCTGTGTATGCTGCCTCTGTGCATTTCTCTCTTTTTTGCATTTTACCATTAGGAAAAGCAGCTAGTCAAGTAAAATGATATTTGCTTCAACCTTTGCTTTTCTACATTTATGTATTGAGACCAGGTTTACAGAAAGGATGCCTGTGCTTGCGTTACCTTTCTCAAATGATTAATCTTCATAACGTCTTTTTCTGAGCTGAAGAGTTCAGGTTTCCAAGCCGTTGACTTTATTATAATAATGGACTAAAGCCAAACACACCTGCTGATTTGGTTCACCTGTGTAGCTTAGTGAGACAATATGGCAGTGTGTGGTATTATTGGTGAAAAGGCAAGTTAGAAATGTGTGTTTGTATGAGAGCAATAGGGAGAGATAGAGAGGCAGAGATGAGGTGAGCAGGTCAGCTCTCAACAGAACAAATGGAATAATGAGGAGCCCAGATGAAGATTCATCTTATGGCCGTTTCACTGATAAAGGAAAGGAAACTGGTATGATAGAAAAGTTAAAATGGATGCACCCTCCGAGCTCTGTGTACCCTCATAATGAAGAGGCTGCCCCAGATTTGTCCTATTCAAATACTATTTTCGCTCACTCTCTCTTGCTTTGGGTATGTGTGTGTTCTGCTTTCTTTGAGACAAGCCTCCCATTCAGTTCACTCAGGGGGGCTAATTGACGGGAATAGGAAAAACGGAGAGAAAGTGATTCCCTCACCATTCGATTAGCGCAGGGTGCAGGGACTGTGTTGCAATGTGCACAGGTAACACAAGATCTTGATTAGAATCTTTAACTTGTAATACAAATTCCAACCTAATAGAAATCATGTCAAAGGGTCAAGTAAATTCTATTGATTAAATTAGACCAAGACAAAAAAAAAAAAAAAACACCATAAAAGTAGTCCATATAATAATCTTCTAAATCTGCATGGTTTCCATATGAATTCCGAAAATAAATGCAGATTATCAGTGAATGTTGATTAAAATTTTAGTCTGTTCTTGACCGAAAACTACGTTATGGCAGAGGAAAATCTGAAACATTCATGGACCAGTGTTGTTATTGTTAACTAAAACTATTAATAATTTTTAGTAAATGAAATAAATATAAAATGAAATATAAATACTAGACGCAAAACTTAGTTTAAAAACTTAACTTAAAAATGTTACCTTGGCAATTAACTGAAATAAGTTTAAGTACTAAATTGGCTAAAAATTAAATAAATAAATAAATAAAGCTAAACAGCTATATTAAAAAAAATAAAACTAATAATAATGTCAAATGCCCATAACAAAATGACTAAAAATTTAAATAAAATGAAAATGAAAATTAATGATATAAAAATAAAAAGCTAATTTAAAATGTGAATAAATACTATAATATATCAATAATAGCACTGACATGGACTACTTTCACAATGCTTTTATGATTCTTTTTGGTGGTTTTTATGGTGCTTTTTTGTCCTTCTTGGAGCTTCACAGCCTCTAGCAACTGTAAATTGTTGAGATAAGGAAAAGTAGCTTCAAAAGTTCCTACGAAAGTTCCACTTTTGTGTTCCCTAGAAAAAAAAAAAGCAACAGCTCAGGGGTGAAACTATATAAGGGTGAGTAAATAATAACACAATGTTACATTTTGGGTGAACTATCACTTTAACATTCTTTTGTTCAAATTACTGTACATAAATGTCAAATTTTAAGTGAAAACTAATGTTTACCTCTCATTGGTGTGCTTGTGTGTAATAGCAGTTTTGACGCTAGAGTGGATTGATCCGCAGCTCAGTATGAAGATAATGATCAGTCTGTCGTTATGACTGGCAAACTGTTTTCTCTCAGATGCTTACTGTATTACTCATCAAAACACACAGCTTAAAATAGTGTGAATACAGCAGACATCATTCACACATGTAAAGGGGTCATCTGACTCCCCTCAAATGACCTGTAGCACTACTTTATAATGTATGAAAAGTGAAGGAGAGTTATGTGAGGATGACGTTCATGGGGATGAAGGTGTGAGACGAGAAGAATAAAAGATGGAGGGAATTTTTTTTATACCAATGCAAGACAGAAACATGACTGAGATGGAGCAAGGGAAAGCAGAGGGGATTTCAGGAGAGGGAGAAAGAAGAAATGATGTTGAGAGAGGGAGAAAGAGGTGGCTGGAGGAAACAGTCACACAGCCATCACATGCAGTTGACACCAGCATCTGTGGACACTATTAATAGCCCCTAACGTTCCTCTCTTTCCTCCCCTTTCTCTCTCTCCGAGCAACTGTTGCAGAAGAACACTGCTCTCTCTTTAGCTTATTTTGTCCGAAAGCTTCTTTTATTTTGTGGGGTAGGGTAGGACAAGGAAGTGAGAATCTCAAGAGAAGATAAAACCGTCAAATCCATTGGCCCTAAAAAGTATTTGGACAATTACACACTTAAACGTGACTGAATTTTTGTAAATTATACGGAGAAATGTTTCAAAATGATTCAAACTCGTTGTTCATGACTTGTAAGATTCACTTATTTTGGGAATTGGAATTCTCTTGTTACATTGTATGTTTTTGATTCACTAAAAAACAGGCTCATAAAGGGCCCGTTCCCTTTAAGTTTTGTCATCTGCCACCTTAAAGGGTTAGTTCACCCAAAAATGAAAATTAGCCTGTGTTTTACTCACCCTCGAAACATCCTAGGTGTATGTGACTTTCTTCTTTCAGACGAATCCAATCGGAGTTATATTAAAAATTGTCCTGGCCCCTCCAAGCCTTTCAATGGGGGTAAGCGGATGTTGGTTGTCAACAGTTCAGAATATGTGAAATAAAGTGCGTGCATCCGTAATAAAACGTCCCTCACACGGCTCCGGGGGGTGAATAAAGGCCTCCTGTAGCGAATCCATGCATTTTTTGTAAGATAAATATCCATATTTCAAACAAATAAACACTTTTTTCTCACTTCTGCTGACTGTCATACGCGGAAGACGTTCAGGCGGATGACGTAAGACGTAGGCGTCGTGCACGCGCCTCTGAGAAATGCAGGAGCAAAGGAAACAAAGTTTCCTTACTTTAGCAAAGGAAAACCAGTCTCCTCTTGGCTTATATCGAAATCCTCCGACATTTTTCTTTACAAATCCTCGTTTTGTGCTTCTAATTCGTGACCGGCGTTTTGTTTTGTTTTGCAAAACATTCGTCACTTATCACGCAACGTCGACGTCTTACGTCATCCGCCGGAACGTCTTCCGTGTATGACAGTCAGTGGAAGTGAGAAAAAAGTGTTTATTACGTTTGAAATATGGATATTTATCTTACAAAAATGCATGGATTCGCTACAGGAGGCCTTTATTCACCCCCCGGAGCCGTGTGAGGGACGTTTTATTACGGATGCGTGCACTTTATTTCACGTCTTCTGAACTGTTGACAACCAACACCTGCTTACCCCCATTGAAAGGCTTGGAAGAGCCAGGACAATTTTTCAGACGAATTGGATTCGTCTGAAAGAAGAAAGTCACATACACCTGCTTTGAGGGTGAGTAAAACACAGGCTAATTTTCATTTTTGGGTGAACTAACCTTTTAAATGCTCAAGCTCTTTAGAGTCCAGTGGATTCTGATTGGCTGTTAGTGTTTTTATTGTTCATCAGCTGGAAAAAATTGTTCTGAAAGTGATTCCTCTGTGTCATTATTGTCATTATTATCATCCTTGGTGTGAACAGCCCTTAAGAGTCATTCATTTAGGGAATTCAGTTTCACTTGTCATTCTGTATGGTTTTGATTCACTAAAAAGAATGAGCTCATAGAACGAATCAGACTAGAGTTTGTGCATGTACCTGTGAGGACTCAACAGAAATATGATTCTTGCTATATTTTTTTTTGCGGTACAC